TTCGTATATTATATAGCCTTAATTTTAAAGAGAAAACAATGATAAAGTGTGTAAAAAGATGTTTTTAAAAATGAATTATACAGGGACATAAAATTTTATGTTAGTACAGTAATCCTTGTATTATTGCTTGATCAAGTCAATATTTTACTAAAGATTACTATGAATCGGCCGATTAGAGAAATCATCGTAGTCTCATCAGCGTACACGAATTTTTTGCGAGTACGGATAGATTCACTATGTTTTTAAACTCATTTCCCAGATCCCCGCCCCGTCTACGACAGCGATTATTCCAACGGTGTGAATGAACGTTGGCAATGATGTCTGATAACGACGTCCTTCAGAATCTCGCATTGAAATGAACTTATTGCATTAAATGTTTCACCGCGATGTACCACGCTCGCAGCCCCTCTGCCGCAAGTCGTTACACAATAAACGGTCTCGAGAACAATCACTGAACAGCGATGTCAGGCGGAAGAAGAACCACAGTGTTTATTTCGGATAAAAACGGTATGGTTCGTAACATGGGATAATATAATACTATATATATATATATATCTATATAATATATACTATATTTTATAATATATATGATAATAATTATACTAGTCGATGCATCGAAAACCTTACGACAATAAAATAATAGTGATAATAATAGTAATAATAATAATTATTATTGTTATAATAATAACATGGTAACTCTGATAATAAATAGACGCCCTACTGATAACACGCGGCGCTATCCTACAAAGATATATGCATCCCTCTAACCAACGCCGTCCCTCAGATGAATCTTTGCTCTGACTAATAATAATTATGAGAGCTACTAGTCGTCACAATAGCTAATGCCTGGAAGACAGCCTAGCAGCATACAGTGAGTTTCCTATCTCATGCTGTCAGATTGTAGTCGAATATGTATATATATATGTAATTACCACATTGGCTACGACAGATGTACTGGTTTCTGACGGCCGGTCACCTACTCTATGGCGAGATAGGCGTAGACGTCCGGTAGAATATCTTCCCAGTTGCCTCGTCGGTCGTAAACGACAGAGTGTATCTACTAACGACTAAGTCTATTTACAGTGTCATGCTGTGCGGCGTGCCCTACAGCTATATCTTGTTCAGATCACACGCGCATCGCACGCACGTACACGCACGTACACGCACACGAACGCACGCACGCACACGCACGCACGTACACGCACGCTCACGCGCGCTCACACGCGCACACACGTGTATCTGCACGCACATGCATATGCACGCACACGCATTCACGCACGCACGTACGCACGCACACACACTTGCTGCAGGAGCGCTTACAGATTCTACAAACAGCATTGACAGCAGTAAAAAAATAGTAATAGAAACGCCCACTAGATGAAAGCACTCTCCTTTTTAAAGAAAAGAAAACATGCTATAAAAAGGAAGTATTTTCTATAAAGAGAGAGAGAACCCATTCTAACATAATATATGGACCTCTTCTCTTGAAAATGGTCAGGTTTAGTCGTATTTGGCCCTTTACACTAACAAAAATGGGTTCTTCTTCCATTGCATTGGGACGTTTCTCTGCTGAAAAGAGACCAAGAGAAGAGGCCCTTTTTATAAAGGTGGGCCCACTTATTTAGCGACGAGATCCTCTCTATAGTGAGCGGAATCCACACAGTCGGAAATGTTTTCAGGTGAAATAAATTACTACCATCTAATAGAAACCTATTTCAAGATGGAGACAATTATCCTATAAATAGAAGATACTATCTTCTAGCTGATGCGATTCGATTCGTGTACGCGCGCGCAGCAACGTTGTGCTAGCATGTGATAAGCCGATAGTCGTAATAGCCGCTCTGCGAACTACGGCGGTAACACCTAGCGGAAAACACGTAAAAATTATTTGATGCCACATCTCAGTGTCTCTATCTCAAGTGAGATTGTCAATCTCGTTATATAGTCCTGCAAATACGCCTGGAAGCTTCACGAACAAACACAAAATAAGCAACAATAACAACAGTAACAACAACAACAGCAACACTGACAACAACAGCAACACTGACAACAACAATAACAACAGCAACACTGACAACAACACTGCTAACGACAACTAAAATGAACACGTAGCATGTCACGGATGGGTATTGCATGCACGCGCCTACAATCCTATATTGAGTTCCTATACCAATACCTCGTTATAATACAATCTATATTATCTTGTTTGCGATCGATTGCTATACAAATCTTCTCTAGCTAATCAAACGAATTATCGTTCGGGTAGGACACGGTACCGTTTGATAAAACGCAGCGCAACTTGCAAGAACACATGGCAATGTAATGAAACACGTCCCCGATCATATGCCGAAGCGTGTCATCATTTGATAAAACGCAGCGCAACTTTTAAGAACACTTGTCGAATTGACAAAACACTTGACCGATCGGTTATCTAGGCGCTTCGTCGCTCACGAAAACGGGTCGTTTCTAACTTAAAACACGTCATCACTTATCGCAACACGTCATCACGTATTGCAGCACGTCATCACGTATTGCAGCACGTCATCACGTATTGCAGCACGTCATCACGTATTGCAGCACGTCATCACGTATTGCAACACGTCATCACGTATTGCAGTACGTCATCACGTATTGCAGCACGTCATCTCGTATTGCAGCACGTCATCACGTATTGCAGCACGTCATCACGTATTGCAGCACGTCATCACGTATTGCAGCACGTCATCACGTATTGCAGCACGCCATCACGTATTGCAGCACGTCATCACGTATCACAACACGTCATCACGTATTACAACACGTCATCGCATATCGCCATAAGTCATTACTTGTAAGAAAACACGCGATCGTCTGTTAAACCCATGTCATCCCGAACTAAATTACATCATCATCTGCTCATCACTGCGTGACCAGCGTTCAACGCTCATCCAGGTCTGAAGTTGTCGTAGCAGCAGTGAGCAACGTGTCCCTGCATGAAATACTTGTTAACTTAATACTCAGATACGTGGCTCACGCATGAACGCGTGAAAGGGGAAGAGCTTGTGATAGCGACGTATATAAAACGCTATATATTCTGCGTCATAGACACAAATAGAGCTGGGGATAGCTTACACTGCTAGACGTTAAATGCAACAGTGTCATTTATATCTAAAGAGAGCCGTTCGTTGGTATGATCCGAATATCCGCAGATCCGCATATCTTGGTATGAATGTTTAAGAACGAATTTTATGAATTAACGAGCACTGTCATGTTATAGCCACGATGAGGAAAATGCTGGTTTAGTATATTCATACCTCTATATATATTCCATCATTCTGTTTGTTTTGCTCTCTCTCTCTCTCTCTCTCTCTCTCTCTCTCTCTCTTTCTTTCATTCTTTCTTTATTTCTCTCTCTCTCTTCCCCTCTCTTCCTCTTTCTCGCTCTGTCAATTTCTCTGTGTCTTTTTCTCTCACCCTCTTTCTCACTCAATCTTTTTCTTTCTCTATCTGCCTATATCTGTCTCTCTTTCTCCTAGCGGACAGAAATGCACATAATTATACGGACACAATGCTACTTATTTACATGATAATATTGCTATTCGTGATAGACGGACGAGCGCACACACACATATGCAGGCACGCGCACACAGATAGATAGATGGATACACGCGTGACAGTCTAAAGATACAACTTCTAGTCTACCTATAATAGCGTGTTGGTGTTTTATCTGTTAATAAACTCGATTCTAATCGATTTACGTAACAATGTCGCGCATGCGCAAAGTATACATCATGAAAGGATCTAACACACGTTTTGCGACAGCGTGAGATGTTTGTACACACGTTTTGTGACAATGCGAGATATTCTACCGCACGTTTTACGACTGTGTGAATTATTCTACCGCACGTTTTACGACAGTGTGAATTATGCTACCGCACGTTTTACGACAGTGTGAGATATTCTACCGCACGTTTTACGACAGTGTGAGATATTCTACCGCACGTTTTCCGACACCGCCGTCCTAGCACTATATTAATGCACAAAACCTAAAAATATAGGGCGAGTCTCTTCCCCTCGTAACAAACAAACCACAAACCAATTTGAGCTGATAACCGACTTGGAATTACGCCATCTAGCGGTGGCTATAAGACACAAAATTACTCCTAATCTACGCGTTATCATGCAAGTATATGCGTGTTTATATGTATGTACGTATATATGTATGCATACATATGTATCTGTGTATATATGTATATATATATATATATATATATGTATGTATGTATATGTATGTATCTACGTATATATGTATATATATATGTATGTACGTATATATGTATGCATACATATACATATTTACGCATATACATATACTTATATGTTTATATATATTAGTGCGTGTAGATATATATACAGAAATATCTACAGAATTAAAAATCTAGCATTTGGTGTTTTTCACAGATACCCGGGTGGATGCAAGTGAGGGTTACGTGACTGTATCACGTGATCACGAAGCCGCGCTATGACTATTAACCTACTAACTGCAGCTGTTCTTGCCCTCGTCCTCCTTCAAAATCTCCCCCTCATCCTCCTCCAACACCTCCCCCTCCTACACCTCCAAAACCTCCCCATTATCCTCCTCCAACACCTCCCCCTCCTACACCTCTAAAACCTCCTCCTCCTCCTCCTCCTCCAAAACCTCCCCCTCCTCCTCCTCCAAAACCTTCCCTCCTCCTCCTCCAAAACCTCCCCTCTTCTTCCTCCTCCAAAACCTCCCCCTATCGTTCCAAAACCTTCCCCTCTTCCTCAAACCCCTTCCCCTCCTCTTTCTTCCAAAACCTCCCCCTTCTCTTCCTCTTCCTCCAAAACCTCCCCGTCCTCCTCCTCCTCCAAAACCTCCCCCTCCTCCTCCTCTTCCTCCAAAACCTCTCCTCCTCTTTCTCCAAAACCACCCCTCTTCCTCCTCCTCCTCAAAAACCTCCCCCTATCGTTCTAAACCCTTCCCCGATATCGTTCTAAAACCTCCCCATATCGAACACGTGCGATATATAGTCGACAGATAAAAAAATTATCGAAGTCGTGGACCTAGACTTAACGAGGGTAAAAAGAGTAGTGTAGAGTTGGTGAGCAGTCAGAAGAAAGAAAAGCAAGCTAAGGTGGGACTGGCTAACACGGGGTATGTCACGCTGTTTATACGCTACCCGCAGACAACTCTACAATAGTTACAATCGGCAACAATAGTAACTTTACGTGGGTGATGGGTGCTAATCAACAACCCGGGTTGGGGAGAGAGAGATATATGTAAGCGTGAATTTTTAGTTATTAGTACAGCGTCGTGAGCCCCTGGCAAACACGCAACTATGCGCCTCGTAGCTAGAACACTACTTTACGTAGGGTGCTTGCCGCTTCCGACCAAAGAAAAACCTTTCCCACGTCAAACCGCGTATGTATGGCGGTTTCATTTGTGGGGGAGGGGGGAGGGTACATCAATACATAATCCGCGAACCATACGACAATTCGATGCCACCTACACTCCAGTATTGCCAGTCTGCTTCTCTTCTTAAAAAATTCAAAGCATCCGTCGCCATTTTCTACATCTATCGTAGCGGCCATCTTGGCATGGACAGACTTTCACTCAGCTTTCGGCGGCTACGAGAGTAAAATGCGCATGCGCAGGGGGTGGTGCCGGCAATCAAACATGGCGGTTCAGTTCGTTGTCACTTTGTCGTAAACATTGTTTCGCTGCTCCCAGCGACCTCTATCGTCGTCTGCCAAACGTTCGCGCGTTACTGCTCCCTCCACCTGGTGGTTAACGGACGAAAATATCTGTTGCGGCTTCGCTCTCCCGGTAAAAACAGCACAGCCAAGCATCCTGGCGCCCCCTGTTGGAGGATAAAAACAACATTGGCGTGTTATGTAGAGTTGAGGCAGATGAGCAATGCAAATTATGTTTATTATGTTATGTTATAAATTCGCAATTGTGACTATTGCACCTTAGGTCAGTATGAACTATAAATCAATCATCACTCATCGCATATGCTTCACGCTGGTACAGTCAGTATCATTTAGAACCCATGTCTTACAGCCACTTAATAACGTTTCAGTGCTGCCCCATCTCGCAACCCTGTACCATAGCTCAGTTCTGATCTCATGTCTCAATTCTGACCCATAGTCTCAATTCTTTACCAAGCCTCAGTTCACACCCACGACTCAGTTCTGATCCCATGTCTCAATTTTTATCAAGTCTTAGTTCACACCCATGACTCAGTTCAGATCCATAGTCTCAATCTTTACCAAGAATCAGTTCTAACCCACGACTCAAATCACGACCACGCCTCGGCTTTTACACCCACGCATTAGTGAGTGATACACCCTGATTCCAACTTTCATACCACGTTTTAGTTATGTGCCGGCGTTTCTCCCACCTCCCCTCCTCCGCCTCCCCTCCTCCCCCTCCTCCGCCACACCTCTACGGTGATACACGCTTACTCACCATTCACATCACCACGGCGTGACGTCATCACGGCGTGACGTCATCAGGGTTGCTGAATGACGCGCGCTGACGAGCCGTTCAGCTGTGTCGCCGCCTGGCGGGGTTTGATGTTATTATTCTTCATGTAGGCGAGGAACTGGTCAGGGATATCCCACAGGATGTCCTTAGCGAGCTGGGCTTGACCGTGGTCCATGTTGTGACCACTGGCGTAGTAGTCTCGGAAGGCGACGAACTACGCAACCAGAGAGAAATTATCACTGACACAGAGATTATCACTGACACAGAGATTATCACTGAAACAGTCATTATCACTGACACAGAGATTATCACTGAAACAGAGATTATCACTGAAACAGTCATTATCACTGACACAGAGATTATCACTGACACAGAGATTATCAATGAAACAGTCATTATCACTGACACAGAGATTATCACTGACACAGAGATTATCACTGAAACAGTCATTATCACTGATACAGAGATTATCACTGAAACAGAGATTATCACTGACACAGAGATTATCACTGACACAGAGATTATCACTGACACAGAGATTATCACTGACACAGAGATTATCACTGACACAGAGATTATCACTGACACAGAGATTATCACTGACACAGAGGTTATCACTGACACATAGATTATTACTGAAACAGAGATTATCGCTGACACAGAGATTATCACTGACACAGAGATTATCACTGAAAGAGGGATTATCACTGACACAGAGATTATCACTGACACAGAGATTATCACTGACACAGAGATTATTACTGAAACAGAGATTATCACTGACACAGAGATTATCACTCAAACAGAGATTATCACTAAAACCAAGATTATCACTGAAACAGAGATTATCACTGACACAGAGATTATCACTGATACAGAGATTATCACTGAAACAGAGATTATCACTGAAACAGAGATTATCACTGACACAGAGATTATCACTGAAACCGAGATTATCACTGACACAGAGATTATCACTGACACAGAGATTATCACTGAAACAGAGATTATCACTGACACAGAGATTATCACTGACACAGAGATTATCACTGAAACAGAGATTATCACTGAAACAGGGATTATCACTGACACAGAGATTATCACTGAAACAGAGATTATCACTGAAACAGAGATTATCACTGAAACAGAGATTATCACTGAAACAGAGATTATCACTGCCACATGGATTATCGCTCTGATATTTCTCCATGTATCGAAGGAACTAACGTCTTCATAATGTGTGTGGTCTAACGTAAATACAGCAGCTACGGGATATAATTAATACTTTTTGACGTCTAAAGCTGGGTTTACACCACCGACATTGTCTTGGCAAATTGGACCAACTTCCCAACTATACAACCGACAATCGGCAGTGTAAACGCAAAAGTTGTGCGACCAACCGATCGATAGCAACTTGTTGGGAGATAAGAACATGTTCTATTTTCGTCAACTCAGAGTTGCCGAATTGCGATATTGGTCCAACTCGCCAATTCGCCAACATAAAGTCGGAAGTGTAAACCCAGCGTAACACGATCACTTATGTATGATGTGTTGGGTCGTGGAGAACGAGTTACATCTCAGCAATTGGGGAGTTTCCTTAGGGAGTCATTTTGAGTTTGTGATTATTATTTGTAGCAGAGGTGGCAGCAGGGTTTACAGGGATGGTGGCTGATAGCGGTGGAGCATGGGAGAGAAGGGCTACAATCCACCCGTCGGGAATAAAAAATCAGAAACTCGGCAGGAAATGATCTATGAAAGAATATACAGTGTCACCTGACACATGTGTCACGGACTCACCTGAGACATGTCTCACATGCATCACCTGACACATGTCTCACGGTCTCACCTGGCACATGTCTCACGGTCTCACCTGACACATGTCTCACGGACTCACCTGACACATGTCTCACGGACTCACCTGACACATGTCTCACGGACTCACCTGACACATGCATCACCTGCCACATGTCTCACGGACTCACCTGACACATGTCTCACATGCATCACCTGACACATGTCTCACGGTCTCACCTGACACATGTCTCACGGACTCACCTGACACATGTCTCACGGACTCACCTGACACATGTCTCACGGACTCACCTGACACATGTCTTACATTGATTACCTGGCACATGTCTCACATGCATCACCTGACACATGTCTCACGGTCTCACCTGACACATGCATCACCTGCCACATGTCTCACGGACTCACCTGACACATGTCTCACATGCATCACCTGACACATGTCTCACGGTCTCACCTGACACATGTCTCACGGACTCACCTGACACATGTCTCACGGACTCACCTGACACATGTCTCGCTGGGCCATCACTCCGCTCGCTGATAGCCGGGAGTTGTCCGTGTCAAACTCCAACATGGCTGCCGGACGCAACAAAAAACATGGCGGATTAGTATCAGCTATCATATATATATATATATATATATTTATATATACAGAGGCTTGCCAAGTAAAGCCATACGTAATACGCTCTTGATACTATATATTATATTCATAAACATAATATATATATATTATATCATGTATATATAAACATCTGATAAAGTTTATGATAGAAAATTGTTATGGAACCCGTTACCACTGCGTGAAAAAAACTTCGCACAGATTCTATGTGTAAGCGTGCACAACTCGCGTGCGGACCGCCCTTACTGTGTTACTATCAATAGCGTATTACAGTATACTTATACTAGCCTTACTTATTAATACTTGTTACGCTGTTAATACTTAATACGCTCTTGATACTATGGATAGATGACGGCGGGGTCAATGGAGTGATATGAGTGGTGGTGGTCACGGGGACTGGCTATCTAGTGACGCATCACTCATGCCTGACATCGCTCTGCTCGTAGCCGAGCGTTTGCCGACCCGCCTGCGTGATTTTTTCTCTCAGGTCAATCAAGAACATAGGCTCTAGTGAGTGCGCTGCATTGGTTGATAAACTCACGTGCCTCAAAACTCCTGTTTTAGGTGCATTCACTGCATTGTGACAACCCAAACTCTATTTTTTTTAATATAAAAATATAATTTTTAATTGTTGTAAAAATAATTGTTGTTATTCAAATTGTTGTAAATAAATCATGTAATATTTGCGTTAATTGTAAAAAAAATTTGTTAAACGGATAAAGCAAGAAAAACACAGCAGAAACAGGAAATAATTAAAACAACGATGGGATTGCGGCTGGACTAATGTTCTTGATTGACCTAAGAGAAAACGCAGCCTGGGCGGACGCGCGGGGCCGCCTCGATCACACATATCGCCGCGATATTAGTTTGGTCGAAAATATTACGCGCAGAGGCCGATAGATGGCGGTGAATTCGCATTGATTCTGGCTTAAATTGACGCGATTTTAAAAACCAGCGAAAAAAGAACATGCATCGAGGCACGTCGTCGTCGATGACGTTCTTACTTCTCGTTGGCTTTTTTTATGGTTTCCGAGCTGCTCGCTTATCGCTAGTTGAATTACATTCGGTTTTGCATAATCCTAGTCTTGCCTTATCACGTGACGCCGAGAGATAAACTGATTGGCTCGTCGTACGATCACCATATAATATAAGCAATGCCGATTTCGTCTTGGAAATCAACCTGAAGCGCACACGGCACGCACGCACGCAGCAGCACGCCGCTCCCACGAACTGCACGCACACACATGTAACCGCAACACACCCACACACACACACACACACACACACACACACATCACACAACACCACACACACACACACACACAACACACACACACACGCGCCACACACACCACACACACACAAACACACAACACACACACACAACACCACACACACACACACACACATCTGGTATCTCATCCAAGCCTTCCCGCACGAAGTAGAGTTTCTTCTTCGAGAATTCTAGGAGAACATTAAAGACGGCGGCACACAAGCACTCGCGCGCAGCAGTACGCACCATGAGTGAGCACGGAATTTCATGAATATAGCACAGCGTGTGTATATACAGCGCGACCTGCTACGCTGGCCAATACACTCCGAACAAACAGCACGGCATCAATTCACGACCGCCTCTTATACGTATAGGAAAGAAGATCGAACGATCGGTGAGAAGATGGCCGCGGCGATGTGGGTTGACAAATATGATAGTTGTGTGACAAATATGATATTGTGCGACAGAAATAAACGACCACGCCTGCCGTCTACTGCAGAAAAGAAGAAACAAGGCAAAGAAGCCAGAAACAGAAGACAGAAGAGGAAGGCGAGAAGGACAGGCGACGAGATAAGTCGTAATCTTCCAATTCGCAGCGCACTCACGATAGAACAGAACTATATATAATAAATAGACACGAGCACAAGCTGTACAGCTTGTAACAACACATACTGATCATATCATATAATATATATATATATATATATATATATATTCATATATAGATACATTATATATATATATATATATAGATATAGTTATAGATATAGATATAGATATATTTATATATATGCGATAAAATAACGTGAATGACATACAAATTTACACAAAGAAGAGACAGAGAGAAACAAATTAATGACAGCTGATTGCCGGCAGGCGGCGCAACCATCGCTGTCACATGGCTCGGCCAGGCAACGTCATCCCAAACAATCAGAGAACAATCAACACTTCCATAAACAATGCTGCACAACATCTGTATACTGTGTGTTCATATTAGGAGGGCAGATTAAGAGAAAAATCATTCTTATTGTCATACAAGCATTCAATTCATAAAAGAACGTTAGCCACGTGAAAATTTAAAATGGCGGCTATTTGTCAAGAAGGCCGCCAATAGCCCCATTATTATAAACTTTCCGCTAAATCTTTTGATTGAGTATAGGCCAATTCTCCTATATTCAATATTTTCAATATATGTGCCAATTTTGGTGTTTGTATGACAATTTGAATAATTCTCCTAATATTTGCATGTTATCTGCCCCACTATATGGATTCGTTCGGAAACAGTATATAATTAGATAGAACCCAAACGAGTAATAGAATAAAACGTGTTATAAGGTCAAGCATTCGCACCGCAGGCGGTCCGGAACGCACCCGTCTATCGTGACGTCATTTCCGCATGCCATCTTAGAAAACGAGCTGAGAAACAAACTGATTGCAATATAAAAAATACGTCACGAAAGAGGAAAGAAAGAGCGAATGATAGAGAGAGAGAGAGAGAGCGAGAGAGAGATTAACAAATTGTTGAATATAATGTTTCTTGGTTCCTGGTTTTACCTTCTCCTTTGCTTTCTCTAGCAATGGCTTTAAATCCTAGAAGGAATTATAGTGATCGTTAGGGAAAGAACACGAACGTGAGGGGAAGTCGCTACACATTAGACAGTTAGTACGGCACGAAGGGTCGTTGTCGTAACAGGTACTACAGATATGTACCCGAGGTAGTTTTAGGTTGTTTACTATTATGTTTATAATTATGTTTATATGAGGTATGTTTAGGGTTAGGGTTAGGGTTAGGGTTAGGGTTAGGGTTAGTGTTAGGGTTAGGGTACACTTCTGTAGTACAAGTCTGGTACACTTTGTGTATACATATATGTACCTCGGGTACATATCTGTAGTACCTGTTACGCGACCCCTTGAGCGTTAGTACGGCTGACAAATAACGTGAGACAGAAGTTCCCCAGTGACAACGCTTGTCACCGCATCTATAATCATATAATCATCATCTATATTTATAATAAATATCCAAGCGAGTTAGTATGGAATAATAGTATACACACACACATATATATATATATATATATATATATATATAAACTATATTGCCACATCATACTTATATATTCATTATATTAATATAGTACATATATAAGTCATAAAATTATATATACATATATATATAAACATTATATATTACATATATATTCATTCGTAACACATCATCGTAAATTGCTGCTATGGTTAGATTATATGCGGTATTACAATAATGCGAGGGAATATCACACTGGGGGTAATATCACATGGGGTGGGATTATATACACAAGCCATCTGTGTGTTTAACATTCACATCTTTCTGGCCACCGTGAGGGTCAGCCTCCACAAACTCGCAACATCTTCACAGCATCCAGCCCTACAGCTAATCACACACAGTCAGTCAATCAGACATACGGGCGATGCGCTTATAAATGAGTGCATCCGTTGTAACGAATCTCGGCGCTAATTGAGCCCCACCCCGCCCCAGCACATCTCACGGGTCTATAAGTGTAATGGATGCACCTGCGGCACCGTCGCTCAGTGTTAGGCAATGTGGTGATGGTGTGTATGTTCTGCCCGACCGGGAAACGCCTCTAGCGGGGCAACAGGCCGGCCCAGTGAAGTCATGATAGATACAACTGGAGCATGGTCATCCGTCGTTAAGAGATTATAAAGCAACTGCGTGCGCTTACGTGCGTGCGTTTGTGTGCATGTTGTGTGCGCGTGCGTGCTGCGTGTGTGTGTGGCGTTCGTGCCGTGCGTTTGTTCGCTGCTTGTTGGCGTGGTGTTGGTGCGTGCGTGCGTGCGTGGCGTAGTGTGTGCGCTGCTCGTACTGCGTCGTGTGTGTCTGCGTGCGGGCTGCGTGCGTGCGTGGTGGCGTGCGTCGCGCGGCGGTGGTGCGTTCCGTCGCATGCTGCGTGTGTTGCGTGCGTTGCGTGTGGTTGTGTGTTGTGCGTGTGTGTGTAGTATTCTTGGCGTGGTCGTGTGTGTGTGCGTGCGTGCGCGCTGTGGCGTGCGTGCGTGCTGTTGTGCGAGATCGTAACGGCTTTAGCCGGGATAAGTCGGCCTCGCCCGATGCGCGATGATGAGTGACAGACAGAGGCAGTCCGCGTCGCCTGAAACAACACACACACATTCGAAACAACACTGACCACGCCGCCGATGTCTGCGTAAACCCTGTCACTAACGAATGCCACGGACGCATTTGTGCAACGACACGACAGAAAATTTGGGCAAATCGTGGGTCATCGGGGGTCGTCGCAAGACAGTCCTACGAAATTTTGAGCATCGTGGCATCGACTTGCCGTCGATGCGAAGAGAAACTAGAAACTAGAAACTCCGAAAATACGTTAATTCGGTTGGTTGATCATGGAGCTAATATAGTTAATTTCTACCCAACCGTGAAGATCAAACTTACTGCTAACGTTTCGCATCCTAACAGGACAACTATTTGAACTAGAAACTGACTCCCGCCTAGTGTGATTGACAGGTACATCTATCCAATCATCGTTGCGAAAAGGGCGTTCGAAAAACGTCGCTATAGTAAAGAAGTGCTAGAGAGTTTGGCGTGAGCTCTTACTAGCATGACCCATCTAGCAGCAATATTCAAGGGGGCGTTGTTATTTCACTTAGAATGATAGTTTAGATACAGATATAGAGATGAAATCAAGACAATTTGCCGTCTAATGTAGTAACATGCAGTTTTCTTCGTGTAACAAATTTTTCTCTATGATGTACGTACGTGATCAGCTGGCCTCAACACGTGATTAACATGGAGCTATCACGTGATGTAGAGAGATAATGTGCAAGTGATCTGAAGCGTTTAGCACGTGATCGGGAGTGAGTCGCACGTTATCACCAATGACATAAACATGGAAAAAAGGAGGAAGAGAAGGAGGAGAGGGATGATAATGATGAGGAGGAGGATGAGAAGAAGGAGAAGAAGGATGAAGAGGAAGAGAAGGATGGGAAGGTACAAGAGGATGAGGAGAAGGAGAAGGTGCAGGAGGAGGGGGAAGAGGAGGAGGAAAAGGGTGAGGAGGAGGAGGAAAAGGAGGAGGAGGGGAAGGAAGAAGAAGAGGGAAGAGGAGGAGGAGGAGGAGGAGGATAAGAAGGTACAGCAGCAGGAGAAGGTCACCTGAACAATGGCCTGCTTCGTCTGCGGCATGTCGGTCACAACGCCATCTGTGAGAATCACGAGCACGTAGTAGGTGGCGCCATCTTTAACTTCAGCTGCATGTCTGCAAAACAAGCGAGCATGTTAGCAGCGTCAGGGCAGCTGAGATATCTTACGGGGAGGGTCTGACCAGATTATCCATGCTTGCAGTAGAAAACGGGTCAGGTTTACATTTTTGACGTACGTTGGCATTTATTTTTTTTTATTTCTCGTAAACTAAGCGAGGTGGTTTACAAGGAATAGTAGTTGGAGCGGTCTGTACAAACTCCACGACAGATGACGCTCTCGCTCTCGCTCATTTGCCACTGCCACAAGCAGATTTCCGTCAGAATTTTTTACGCTTTTTTACTATATGTTTTACAGCGGGAGCGGCCCGTTACTCCTGTCCTATGTAATTATATGGTTTATACTTATAAAAGTTGCAAACATAATAAAAATAGGACCATTATTTCATGACAATTTGATTAAATAGTGATACGAAATAGTACGTGGATTGTGCGCCCATTTACTACTTTCAAATCATTACGCTGTTTACTAAACTAAGTGCACGTGTTTATTTAATATTTATCATGAATTTTTCGGATGCTTCCAAATATACCTAATTCTCGAATATTGTCTTTGATACATTTTTGCGTATTCAGCTTAAAACATCTAAATTTGTCCATTGTTTGCAGCCATGTTGGCAGCCATGTCGGCAGCCATGTCGGCAGCAATGTTGGCAGCCAAGTTGGCAGCCATGTTGGCAGCCATGTTGGCAGCCATGTCGACAGCCATGTTGGCAGCCATGCCGACAGCCATGTTGGCAGCCATGTTGGCAGCCATCTTGGCAGCCATCTTGGCAGCCATCTTGGCAGCCATCTTGGCAGCCATCTTGGCAGCCATCTTGGCAGCCATCTTGGCAGCCATCTTGGCAGCCATCTTGGCAGCCATCTTGGCAGCCATGTTAATAGCCATGTTGGCAGCCATGTTGGTAGTGCTTGATGATTATTAAGTTGTCGAACATGAAAGAGACGTTGTTTTTCTCTCTAATCTCTCCTCTTCCCATTTCGTTCTCCATCTCTCTCTCTCCCCTTCTCTCTATGTTTCTCTCTATTAATCTTTCTCCATCTCTCCCCTCCCTCTTTCTCTCTCTGTTTCTCTCTCTCTCTCTCTCTCTATCTCTCTCTCTGTCTCTCTTTCTTTCTCTATCTCTCTCTATCTCTCTCTATCTCTCTCTATCTCTC